AATATCGACGAACATTGGTAACAATTCTCTGCAACAAGAACAGCTTGGTCATACGCCACAGCAAATACTACACGTACTTTTGTCACCAAACTTTTATCCTATTGGCATTCAAGTGCGTACTGGAGATTGGACGATGACATTCGATAAGCTTCATAGATGGCTCAAATTTTTTCCTAGTGAGACCTTGCTGCTTAAATCCTATCAATATTTTCTGACTTGTGCGCTAGACATCGTTAACGAAAATCAAACATTTCTCACTGACAACGAACAAGTACCGGTAGCTTTCCTCATATCAGACACTGTCCGACTTCGTCGAGCAGCTTTAATCCGTTGGAAATTGCCATTTACTTGTATTCAACCATTTAGAGAAGCATGCCAAAATCAGACAAAGCCTTTACCTATAATAGCCGATTCAAATCCTGTTCTCCATGTTGCCTTCACATCACAGCGCTCATTAGCATTAAATGTGGCCATGTTTGATATTTTCCTATTCAGTTTATGTGAACAACATGTGATTAGTGCAGAAAGTGGTTTTGGTAGCCTTGGAGTTTTTACAGCCTTAAAACAACGCAGCATCTATTCACTTACAACGGTTAAGAAAAGGACGTGTTCTGGCAGAAATCAAACCATCTCTCTTGTGGGTTCTAGTTATCAGTGGTCTGGTATTTGATTAAAAATGAGATGCTTTTCATTTTTTTATATTGTTTAAAATGTGTCCCCTTAAATGAGCTGTACATGTACTTTCCATCTTTCTTTTTCTTTTTCTTTTTTAAATTTATTTTACTGTGCCATGTTGTACTTGGTTCACAGTTACAAGAATAAAACCAGAAAAAGAAGAAAGGAGTATGATATTCATAGCAAATATAACACGTCAGCGTTACAGGGGAAAAAGAACGAGAGCAAAATAACACTATATCAATCACACTACATATAAAAAGAATAAAAGATACATCTTGACAACAGTCGAGTATGAGCAACAAATATTCAAGCAGAAGTGGTTCCCAAAATGAGGAAAAGATGAACCTCGGTTAATCTGACCTATGATCTTCATGTCATATATGACATCAGAGGAATACTGTGAAAAGTATTTGTATACATAATCATCTATATATTCCTTTGTATTCCTGAAAAAGTCATACTGCGTTTTATGGACTTCTTCAAACATTAACCACTCAACCAAACAGTGAGTTGCCTGTTTTATAAGGGTGTGGGTGTGGGGTGTGGGTGTGTGGGTGTGGGTGGGTGTGGGTGTCAATGTAGGTGTCAATGTGGGTGGGTGTGGCTGGGGTATGGGTGTGGGGTGGGGTGTGGGGTGTGGATGGGTGTGGGTGTGGATGGGTGTGAGTGTGGGTGTGGTGTGTGGGTATGGGTGTGGTTGTGGTGTGGGTGTCGTGTAGTTGTGAGTGCAGGTGTTGATCTTTTTCTGATCTACGCCCACACCCACACCACCCACACCCACACCCCACACCCGCACCCCACACCCACACCCACACCCCACACCCGCAGCCCACACCCACACCCTAAAATCTTATAAATTGGATGAAAAATATACTTTCAAAAGAAAGTATGTTTAATAATTCAATTTCTTAATTCAGTAGTTGTGTTTTTTTACCTGTGGAATTCTATTTCTGTGTTGATTGATTGTATTTTTTTTTGTTGATTCTATCCAATTAAGACCAAAAATTTGATGTAATGATCCTGAATTAGTACACTGGAATAAAGTTTAAAAATACCTTTACCTGAAAAAAATGTCTTCTGGTTTTTTTCTACGTTTCGAGCTTCAAAAGTTGACAATACTGGTCTTTTGGATCAAACTACAAACATTTTAATTCATACAAAATATTTGAAGATTATCGAAAGAAATTTTATTAAAGTATTGTGCGATTAAAAATTTCTCTAGCTGTGGTAATTCGTAGCAACAATAAAAGACAACCATTTACAGTGTTAAATATATTTGTCAATGCATTTTTTTTCTTTTCGTAATCGTCTTTGAGCATATTTTAATGCTCGCCCTTTTCCATGTAAAAGTATTAGACGAAAAAAAAACACATTAAAATCGATTGTAATTTGATTAAAAATCGCTTTAAATCATGCACCTTTAATCGATCATAATAAAAAAACTATTGCTTTTTATTGATTTTGCTTTGATAATACATGATAGAATCTTTATTCAATTGTCTTCGATTTGCATCAATACCGTCGATCTCTTTTTATCAATATTGAATTCATTAAAGTCAAAACTAATCGAATAATCGATGAAATTTTGACTTTTTCGATTATTTTTGATTTTAATCGCTTTAAATATCTTTTATCGCTTAAGTTTTTTTTTCATAGGTTTCAACATATTAAGAAATGTTTTGACTACGTTCTTTCCTGTCCGACAAAATCATGGATTGTTTAATTTTGAGATGAAAAGAGCGTAAATCAACTATTGTGACATTGTAAAATGAATGTCAGAAGAAGAACCGAAAAATTATTTATTATATCTTTTCCCGAACGTCATGTATTTTAAATGAGTTTATATTTAGAAAAATGTTTGTCATCTTTGACTAGAAACTCTTTGATTATCAAGAATTGAGTCGAATTCTTGCAATGACATCAGTTCCTCGGTAGTCAACATGATAATTGTCTTTTTCTTACAATAGGCAAGTCCTGAAAGAGTAAAAAAAACGTCCAGGTCAATGCTAGAATGTGATTCGTGAGAATAAACGAGACCAAAGTTTGGGAAGAAACTCTTGATGACCTTGATCAGTGATACCCATCAGTTATATTTACTCAAAAAAGGACAAAATAAAGTATTTCAGAAACTGATCGCTCCAAACTTCAGCTCGATCTTAAAAATCTTCGCTCGCACTCCTACGTGGTTATGAACGACGTCATTGTATGGGTTTTTTAAATATCAGTTCAATCTGATCTCTTTTTGATTTTCTTTCGAAATATTGTGTTGAAACCCATTTGAAGTGTATTCATTAGATGATAACTTCGCCATCTATCTCATAGTCAATCGAGAGTGTCAATTAACTTGAGTTTCCAGTACGAATTCTATTGATCACTGATTTAATGTGAGTCGACAATGCAAAAAAAAGAATTTTTCCTTCCAATGAAACATTGATGACATCAAGTGGCATAATTGAAATAACAGCTAGTAAACGTCTACAGACCTCTGACTTAAGAGCATGTACTTGTTCAACTTCATACATTGGTATTAGACGATTCGTTCATTTCGAAGAAATTTTGACTTTACTTTGCCAAAGATAATTATTGTCTTTGTGCACCCACATTTTCCACATATATGTTATGGATACGGTTTTTGCGCATAAATCTATATCTACTTCGTTCTTATAACATCAAACAAAGACACCATTCATAGAAGCATTAGTTTTAGTCGAAGAAAAATATTAAAAAAGACTGAATTGTTTCTTTGCTGATACTCTGTTGTAAGCATCGATTCTCAATCCTTACACAAAACATAGTTCGATTTATCTTTGTCAATTTCTTGACGATCATATTTACAAAGACTTTATTTCATTCGAAGAGACGCTTTAAGAGCCAATCTGTATAACTCTTGATCGACTTTGTTCAATTTAAGATATCGTATAGAAAGAAGATTTTAATGATTTTTGTTAATGAAAAGCCCTAAAAATAAAACGTGTCAAAAGGTTGTTTTTGTGGACTCTATATTTTAAGAATGAATCTTCTGATTAGGTTAACATTTTTAAGAATCTATTTATCAGTGAATTCTCCTTAGAAAAAACACGTCAATTCAAAATGTTATATTCGTGGTATTCATAGATCTCATAAAAAATAGAGAAAAACATTACTTGAGACAGTTGTTTGAGAATTCATATCTCATGATTGAACGGTAATTTCAAGCTGAAATTTGTATTTCTTCTAGAATTAGTAAAGACTTACCTTCGGTAAAAGCTTCAGTTTTCTATCACATTCTGTTCATTCAGGAAATGCTTCTCAAAAGGTGATTTTTGATGACAACCACGATTTTGAGATGAGATTTTCTCCGACGAAATAGAACAGCTTGGGTGTTGAAAGTCCTTTTTGAGGTATCAAATTTCATATAAAAATCAGCCTAGGATCTCTATAAACAATCGATGACGAGGATCATCTTTAGAGTCAAAACAAGAGGTATATCTGAATGGTAATCGAAAGTCTAGAACTTCTATGAACGATAATATCTGGAGTCTATTATCCTAAATAGATGAGTAGCAGTTGTAAGACTTATATCGAAATGTTTCTCATTTATTACTCACAGTCGTCATTTTAAAAAACACCAAAACAAACTGTTATGCAGCCAAAAGAGATAGACAATGTAGCGGCAAGAAATTGGAATTCCGCATGTTCTGTGCTAAATACAGTCAGTATATCAAAGATTCTGGGTTCCGAAACAGCAGTTTTTCCAAGACCGACGAAATTGAAAACCATAATTGTGAACTCAGACATAGTATGTATGAAAGAGCGTCGTTGAAAACTAGGATATATGGTTGTGAAATGAATTCTGCCTATGCCATTCGTCCTATACACTTTTTTACCACGATCACAACCTTGTGATCTAGTAACTTTTAACTTCTATGGTGTTGAGCATTTATCAATTTAAATAAATCGAAAATCAACAACAATACTTCGTGATAGTGTTCTTACAATTTCTCATCTATTGAGATAGCCATAGACCTGAAATCTTGTGTATTCAGTATGAATTAGATATGCAAGCCTGCCAAAGTTTCAAAGACTTTGTCTCTATTGAATGCAAGAAGAATTTATCTTAAAATTGCTTCAGAACTTTTGGGATCCCCTTTATATCAATTTATTGTCAACTGTTTGCATCAAATCTTTTATTGAGAAATAAAGGAATTATAGATTTGAGTTAAATAATTTCTTTGCTCCTATATTAAAAAGTAGTGACTTCTAAGTGTAAAGATCAAATCAAGATTCTTGTTTAAATCATGATCATAAGATTTCTTTTTTGTATAAATCCAACAATAAAATAATTAATGTTTGGATGAAAGAATTTGTTTTCGAGCTTGTTCAATAATTCGAGCTATTTGTAATGAATTTTCAAGTGTCATTAATGGATGTTCAGTTTTTCCACTCATAATTTGATCACGACATGCAATAGCTTCATAAAGAAGACCAACTGAATTCACAAAATTTGTTTTTTTAATTGTTTCAGGTAAATGATGATCAACATGGTGACCATTTGGTAATACAATTCGTGTTGGACATTTAAAATACATCGGAATACTCACAACACCTTGAATATTAAACAAAAGATAGATAAATTTAAAATTGTGAATTAATACAAATTTTGTTTTTACCTTCTGTTCCATGAATTGTTAATGAATTAATTGTTCCAATATTTTCGCCAAGAAAATTAAGAACAGCCATACAATTATTTTTAAATAATAATGTTATACTAGCCATTGCATCAGTTATTTCACCTTGAAATTCTCTTGTATGACCTGTAGCTGTAACTGATTCTGGTTCTTCATGATTAAAAGCAAGTAAAGCTGCTTGCACACCATAACAGCCAATAGTCATAAGTATACTCCAACAACCATTAGAAATTAGACCGCTAGTACAGTATGTACTTTCAACAAAAGTAACCTAAAATGAAATATTAAATTATTTATTAATGGATTTTTTAAAATTTACTGTTCCAATTTGTTTAATAGCATCACGTAAATAATTATAGATAGGAAAAAATCGTGACCACATTGCTTCCATCATAAATTTATTTGTTTTTCTTGCTGTATCAATTATTTGTTGAACTTCATCTGCATTCATTGCTAATGGTTTTTCACATAAAACATGTTTATTATGAGTTAATGCTTTAATACATAAATCTCGATGAACATGTTCTATTGTTCCAATATAAGCAATATCAACATTTGGATCTTGAAATAATTCTTCTTGTGTACCATATGTACGAACGTGATTTTCAAGACCAAATTCTTTAACAAAATTGTCAGCTTTTCTTTTATCTCGAGAACTAACAGCAACAATAACATGTTCATGAGGATCACAAGTCAATAATGCAAGACAAAAGTCTTGACAAATACGACCTGTTCCAATGATACCCCATTTAAGTTGCATATTTATCAAAGATAAGAACAAAAACAAAAACAACTAAACGGTAAAGTGAAGAGTCTTCCATTCAAATGATGTCAGTAATTGCTAAGCATCATAGATAACAATGATTGTGTCGCTGGGATTCAGAAATAATTCTAATAAATGAAATTTGACTTTTACTAACCGATAGACTATCTCATCGAAATTTTTAATGCGATACGAAGTACAATATTTATGTGAGTCATCGCAAGTTCTTTTTTTTTTAATTCCTAGGTCGATATGCATTGAAAGTCCTTATGCTATATCATGCTGATCTCGAGAATAAAAAGTCAAAAGATATTCGTTTGGACACAAGATGAAAGTATCGAGATTGAACCAGCATGATTCATTTTTCTGATCTTCAGTAGTAGCTTTAGTTTGTCAATAGGAAGCTTGAGAAAAAAAGGCAATTTTTTGTAGATTTGGTTTTTTTCAAGCTTCCTGATAATTAAAATGAAAAGAGTTTTATATTCAACTTTAAGAATAGCTGATTCTAGATCGTGGCTAACAGAGATAATTAAATGATCAATGCACTATATTAATGAATGTAGGCAAGGGAATACTTCCCATTGGATTGGTCATATTTTTTATTTCTTTCATCACAAGTTTTTGATGACCTAAATAGAACTTTTCATTGTTAAAGACAAAGAATTTGTTCTAAAATTAATTAACAAAATAAAAAACGGGAGTAAAAGTAAAAAAACTGATCGTATTCTTATATATAAAACAACAAGATGATGATGCAAACCAAAAAAAAAGAAAAGAAGCCACAGTATCTAACGAGTCTAAATAAATAATCAGTATATAGCAAGATCTGATGAAGTACTTGCATTGGAAATTCATCAGCAAGAAAATTGTCCTAGTCTTAGACATTCAACCACAATTATAAGTTTATTTTATTATAAAATAAAATGAAACAAAGCATTATTATTCAGAGATTGAAATATGATATAAGAGAAGTTTTCTTTTAGTTTTATATGCAGAGAAAATCATTTCAAATTTTATGTCATTATTAAAAATTATCTTTTTTTATTGGCAGCAATTTGTCTTTTGTTGTTCAGATATTTTCGAATATTCAAGATTATCTCAATTCTAATAAATTTATTTTCAATCACGACGGAGCAAATTTAGTCTTAATCTAGTATTTGTTCTCAGATAAATTCTCTAGAGCAGAGATAGATTAGTCACGATTATTTTTTGCACCGTATTCTAAATGAATGTCACCATTAGAATT